GGGCAATGAGGGGTATCACTGTGGTGGTAGAGGTGGTTTATACTGAGGCTGGTCTATCGACAGTGTTAGCCGGTGTCCTTCCCAGGAGGACTCTGTGTATACAGTAGACACAATGTCCTGTACTTATGAAACAATGGAAGGGCTTTTTTGGTGAATGAGAACGGAAGATCCTTGGAGCAGTAACATTTTATATCAAACAAGCAAGGGCTGTATATTTGTGCTTGCGATGCATGATTTTTTCATCTGTACCTATCGTAGACATCTTCCTAGGATAAGGAATTCTGTTAGGCTCGTGTTATTTCTTAGCCAAAAAGGTTTTTTTCGAAGGCAAAGAACAGATTCCAGGTATGTTTTTTGCCCTTACAACACTCTCATTTTTTTCTTGGTGAAAATGAAGATTTACATTTTCAGGGCCACCCAGTTTCCTTTGGTGCCATTTGATACATGCCAGCTCCCCCAAAGCCTTTTCTTCCCTTTCACATATGTTTCCTGGCTTGGCGATGCAACTACATGACTAAATTGTTCAAGCTGAATCCCTGTGTATTCCATCCATTTTGTTGGCAAGATATTCTAGCGGCTTTCCTCCTGTTAGCAGCATTCGTGGTAGAAAATTGGTGAATAATTCATTTTGGTTTTGCTCCTGCTTTAAAAAAAGAACCCAGCAGGGCAGAGATATTCAACAGATTATTTCATTTTTAAAATTTTAGCAGAAATAAACAAGATGATTAGTTTAAAATGTAATTCATAGTCAGTGAGTTAAAACACTTGAGTTGCTGATTACAGCTAGTTCAACTAGCCCCCTAAAATGTAATTAGCTTTTGGCATGATTCCAAATGGCTTCTTTACACTTAAATTTGCAAAAAATTTTCTGACGCTGTTTCAGTATTTCAAATAGTTTTCAAAGAGTTTACTAGCAACATTGATCTGAATTCATATGCACTAGGTGACGTCTCTTGAGTTTCTGGAGACAATACATATGTATTAAAAGGGGTAAGTTAACAGTGTTGACCTTCCTAGTGTTATAGGTGGGTAAGTTGCTTTTAGGTTTGTGGTTTACTTTACTTTTTAAACGTATTTGGGTTGTAGCCTGTGTAAAAATATTTTTTTAAAAATCCAAGTTACAATACTGAGATTATAACTGAAAAAATATTATTTATTATTTATTATTTATTTTCTGTTAATATGGCATTGCAAGTCTAGAAAATATAAGAAACTGAAGACAACTTGCAGGGTAAGGCCAAAATGTGAACTTCACAATTTAAATACAAATTTCCACATTAGCACTTACAGTTATTCCTTCAAGCTGCCGTTAGACATAAGAAAGTATTCTTGTTGCAATTCTGTTGCCTTTTTCCATGAGTTAAAAAATAGTTGTTATTATGGATAATATCAAATATGTACAAAAGTAGAGCAGAGGGCATAAAGAACCTCTACACACCCATTAACCAGTTTCAACAATCATAACTCATGGCCAATCTTGCTTTGTTCATACCCCCACCCTCTTCTGTGCCCTTGCCCCCAGTCCTTTGTTTTGAAGCAAATCCCAGACATCATCTCATTTCCTATGGATATATTTTAGTATGGGTTTCTGAAAGGTAAGGATCCTTAAATTATATAACCACAATACCATTATCACACTTTAAAAATTAACAGTGATTCTCTAGTATCATATTTCCAATCAATGCTTCAAGTTTTCCTGCTCATAAGTGGGTATTTTTAGTAATGGTTCATTTGAGATAGCATCTAAACATTGCCTGCACTTTGTTTGATACATCTCTTATATCTCGTTTAACTTTTTTTTTTAAATGTTTATTTTTGAAAGAGAGACAAAACATGAGCAGAGGAGGGGCAGAGAGAGAGAGAGAGAGAGAGAGAGACATAGAATCCAAAGCAGGCTCCAGGCTCTGAACTGTCAGCACAGAGCCCAATGTGGGGCTCGAACTCATGAACCATGAGATGCGTGAACTGAGCCGAAGTTAGATGCTTAACTGACTAAGCCACCCAGAATCCCTCTTACGTCTCATTTAACTTACAGATGCCCTCTTCTTTCTTCCCTCCTTCCCCCCACCCCTGCCCCTACTACAATATATTTGTTGAAGAACCTGACATCATTTGTTTTGTGGAATGCCAACTTTCTGGATTTGTCACATTGCATCCTTGTGGCGTTACCTAACGTGTTCTGGTGTTCTTTGTATTTGATGTAAACTGGTAATAAAGGGCTTGCTCAAGTTTAATTTTCCTTCTTTTCTTTCTTTCTTTCTTTCTTTCTTTCTTTCTTTCTTTCTTTTTTTTTTAGACAAGACTACTTCATAGGTAGTGACATATGTATTCATCAGAAGGACATCTGGATGTTAATCTCCCTCTCTATGATGTTAAAATTGGTTAGTCAGCTTTAGGCACCTCATTTATCCTGATCCATCCATTATGAAGTATCCTATCAGCTCGTTACCTAATAATTTTAGCAGCCATTTATAATCATTGCTGGTAATTATTATATCAAGAAGGAGAGATACCATTTTTGAAAGTAATTTTTAAGACCTGGAGAGTAACTGAATGACAAAATGTTGTGATTTTCCTAAGTTTGATGGTTCTGCCTTCTCTTTTAAAGCCAAGTCACAGAGAATCTTTCCAAAGTAAGAAGTAGATTGCATCAGCTTAGAAGCTCTGTGAAAAAACAAAGCCCAAAGTGACCCAATCATCCTCCTGTGGAGTTAGTATTCTCTCAGGAGACAGTTTCTCAGCCCCAAGCCTAAAAGGGATAAGGCAGTATTTTTGTTTTTATTTTTGTCAAATAACAAAGCTTGGACTTCATCAAGCTTTCAGTGTATACTGCACGATTTGTACGTTAACATTTTATTAAAAATACCAACAGAGAGGAAGGGGTTGGAAAACACCATTGAAATATCCCCACTCTTTCAACCCAGTTCCTGTTGGGGTTTGAGTGTTGGGGCAATGAGTAAAGCCTCATCCCTGAGCCTCACCTGGCTATCATTGATGACTTTTTTACTGCCAACTTTGGAGGGAAAGGAGGAAAGGGAAGAGGATGAGTTGGCAGGGTCTGAGAAGGCTGTTCCCAACCAGTAGCTACTTGCTGAGAGGAATTCAAGATGAAGTAATCCTCTACTTTGGAAGCTAACTTAGAAGTTATTTGAGCTGATCTCTTTGCTAATCTAAGAATCTCTCCAAGAGTTCAACAACTGACAGAAGACTTACCTTCACATTTTATACTGTTTCAGTGCTCATCTCATTCTGCTTCTTTAATTTTGTATATCTTGTTTTCACTACTGGATTATATATTTTGTGAAGACAAGAAATATATCTAATTATTCTATTTAACCCTATTTAATATAGGGTGTCAAGCAGAAACACAGCGGTTAAAGCAGTGAAAATAGATTTTATTCAGTAACTGCTGACAGCAGGGGAGAGAGCTGAGTGCCATTCTCAGTTGTGCAGAGGTGATTGGGCATTTTAGAGGGAAAGTGAGAGAGCAGGGCAAGCTGGGACTCAGAAGAGGCCAAGAAGTGGAAAATTACAAAGGAATGGTCATCTAAGTGCATTTAGGCTGGCTGTGTCTGCTGGCTGGCAGTTATCCTCTTGCAGACACAGGGAGGCAGGCCCTCTCCTTCCTGATGATTGCATTTTAAAGGAATGGCTCTCAGGTCCTTGAGAAAGACTTGTGAGTTGTAGGAGATACGTATTCACAATTGTGAACCCTTTGGAGAAAATGATCTGAGACAGAGAGGTCAGAGGCCTTTCGTCAGGTATCGGCTAGAGCCAATAGTAAATTCTCCCGGTGGCATTGAGCTTTCTCAGGCCACGGTTCTAATGGGGGGCAGGGGTCCTCCTCGGGATGAGCCTCATGTCGCCACACTGGAGTTTGGTGTCTCCTGGTGCACAGGTTTGCGTGAAGTTTGTGGTTTGCTGAAAGTTCTGCAGTTCTCAAGGGTCTAGACCACCACTTAATGAGTTTGTGGTGACTGAACACATGTAAATAAATTCAGGTTTTGTTTTTTTTAATAAATTCCCATTTATTTTTTTTTATTTTTATTTTTTTTAACGTTTATTCATTTTTGAGACAGAGAGAGACAGAGCATGAACGGGGGAGGGTCAGAGAGAGGGAGACACAGAATCCAAAACAGGCTCCAGGCTCCGAGCTGTCAGCACAGAGCCCGACGCGGGGCTCGAACTCACCGACCGCGAGATTGTGACCTGAGCCGAAGTCGGCCACTCAACCGACTGAGCCACCCAGGCGCCCCAATAAATTCACATTTAAATCAATTCCATTCCCTTTACCCTGAAAAGGAATGGGGTCGGTTGGAATGCTTTTCACCTTCTCTTAGTGCCTAGACACAGCCAGGAGACCGGAGCACCACCTGCGTTTGTTATTTTCCTGCCTTCCCTGGGTCTAACTGGCCGTTCTCCTTAGCAGGGATGATGGCTGTACTTCCCTTTTCTTGAAGCATAGCACCTTCACTTATGAATAAGAGACTTCATCTCCCTACCATAGAAATTCTGATTTTTTTAAAAGAAATAATTCAGTATGGATCAATCTGTTATAAAGATGATGACATATTTTACTATCTACTGCAGTTTTCTGAGCACTTTAAAAAAGGACAGTTTAAATGTCTCTTACCCAGGGAATCATACGTAGCAGGACAGCATTTCTGTCGTAAACTTTCATCAGACTTCTCCTTTTTGGCGTTTATCTAAGGTTGTAATGTATTTATGTATATATGATAACTTTTAAATATATGTCATGGAAACTGTCTTTACTTGTTCACTTTTTAAAGACCAGCACCTACCACAGTGCCTAGCACTAGTAAATCTATTTAAAAATGATCTATTTAATGACTAAGTGAACGGCCTTCCACCTTACTTTGTCTTTTCCTGTAAGACCCTGTTGACAGTATACAAATGCTGTTTAATTAAACCTTGGTAAATGAATGTTTGTGAAATCTCATGGACACTGAGTCGTGTTTCAATGATTCTTCTCTTTGTAGGTTCCTTACCTACTCCTACCTCTTGGCCTTCAATGTGTGGCTTCTGCTTGCACCTGTTACCCTGTGCTATGACTGGCAGGTGGGCAGTATTCCCCTGGTAGAGACCATATGGGACACACGGAACTTGGCCACCATCCTTCTGGCAGTTGTGATGACCTTACTGAGCCTTCATTGTTTAGCAGCCTTCAAGGTAATTTTCTTAAGATCCAGATGAACTCTCAGCATTTGAAGACAGACACTCTAAACTTACTTACTATTGCCTCCCCCCACAGGGGTCTGGGTCTAAACTGAATCTACTCTTTTGTCTAAAAACCTGAAAAATTTAAATTTTTCTAGGTAAGTAATATATGTCTTAAAGACCTTAGTAGACTTAACAGATCATGGCCACCTTAATTATATGATATCTTTTACTGTTCTACCAAGCCTGTAGAAATTGGATCTGAAATTTAATATTTGCAAACAAGAAACTTTTTTCCTGCTATAGTTGGCTAATTTTTGAAGTAACTTGTTTGATTTCATGTAATGATAAATGAGATAATGATAATATATTCATAAGTGCTTAAAATATGGTTAAGATGCTACTCCACTAATGACTGCCTGACTGCCTGAGTTGGTTGGGTGATTCTCACTTCAAAAAACATGATATAAAGCTGGAAAAAAAATTACCAAATGCAACCGTTTCAAAAATGACCAAAGACAGTGACTGCCTGAGTTGGTTGGGTGATTCTCACTTAAAAAAAAAATGATATAAAGCTGGAAAAAAAATTACCAAATGCAACCATTTCAAAAATGACCAAAGACAGCAAAGAACTTGAAAATGTTTACTTATGAAAAACTGCTACTGCATTGGATGAGATGCTTCTTGCCCAAGGGTCTTCCCATCCCCACCCCACTCCGTTCCACACACACCCCCACCAGCTGGTGTGAAAGAAACCAGAAATTTACTGGTTAGAGGTGGCTGATTTGGTTTGGGAGCATAGCATAGCAGCAGAAAGCTTAAGGGGGAACTTTTGGAAACAAGAGAGCTATAGAAGGGCTGAGGTAATATACTCTGCATGCATTCGTGGCTGGCTGCTAAACAACGTAGGCCTCCCCAGGGAGCACAAGCAAAATTGAAAGCCTGGGGAGACTTATTTATTTGCTGCAAATTTGAATGAATTTTTTAACCCATACACAGGTTGGTCAGCAGAGAGGGAAGCTTCATTGGCCTGAGTTGTCACTGTGTAACCTCTGTTGAAATCACTGGCTGATCAAAAAGCTGTGTAGGCACAAGAGAGATTCCCCCAGAGATTAGGGCAAAACAAAAAATAAAAAACTGAGCAAAAATTTCAGCTCTCTGCAGAGGAAGTAGATTTTTCATTTGGAGTCTAGGCAAATTCATTATATATTAAAACAGTAAAACCAGCAGATTTCAGTCGAACAGAATGGAATATAGAGTCACTACAATGTATGACACACAATGCCTAGTTTTTTTTTTTTTTTTTTATCAGATTCTGGACATGTAAAGGAGCAGGAGAGTGTGACTCAAACTCGGGGTGGGGGGTGCTGGGAATAGTAAGTAGAAAACAGAATAGAATTGAGAATCCAAAGGTAAGCTCACATTTACATGCTCTTGATTTTTGACAAAGTGACCAAGATAATTCAATGGGGAAAGGGTTGTCTTTTAAATAATAAGTACTGAAATAATGGAATATCAATAAGGAAAAAAAATGTGACATTAACCCTTCCCTCATACTGTATACCTATAAATGAATTCTAAGTGGCTCGTGGTCTTAAACAAAAGAGTTAAATAATACCAAAAATTCTAAAAGGAAATAGGAGAAAAATCTTTGCAGACTGGGGTTAAGCAAAGATTTCTTAGGACACGTAAAGTACAGACTATAAAAGAAAAAGATGACAAATTGAACATCATTAGAATTAAAAATTTTGCTCATCAAAAGATAATGTTAAGTCACTCAAAAGGCAAGTCACATTGGGAGAAAGTGTTTGCAAAACATATCTATGAAGGACTTGGATCTGGGACATTTAAAGAGCTCTTAAAATTTAGAAATAAGACAAATAACTCATTAAAAATAGGCAAAAGATTCAGAATCTTCACAGAAAAAGGTATGCAAAGGTTGATAAACATACAGAAAGATGCTTAGCATTATTGGTCATTAGGGAAATGCTAATTAAAGCCACAAAAAGATACGACTGCATATCCACTAGAATGACTGCAATTAAAAAGATTTATGAGACTAAGTGTTGGCCAGAATGTGGGTCAACTGGAACCCTCATTCTGATGAGGAAAATGTTGGCAGTTTCTTAAAAAGTTAAATATGAAGCTAAGCAATTCTCCTCAAAGAAAGATAGAAAGAGCTCCGTATGAGTCTTGTAAGTAAGTATTCATAATAGCTGAGAAATGGAAACAATCCAGTGGATCTCAAAATGTAAATGGGTAAACTTAATATAGTAAGTTATTCAGAAATGTAAAGGAACAAATAATTTACTTATGCATAAAAAAAATACGTGAACCTCGAACATATCTTAGTAAATAAAAGAAGCCAGACAGGAGTGCCTGGCTGGCTCAGTCTGTGGAGCATGTGACTCTAGATCTTGGGGTTGTGAGTTTGAGCCCCACATCAGGTGCAGAGTTTACTTAAAAATAAAATAGTAAAAAAAGAAAAGTCAGACCTATAAAACTACTACTGTAAGATTCCGTTCATACAAAATGTCTGTCGTGGTAATTCTACCTTTTCTAGAATTGCCTAGAAATGCCTAGAGAAGGCAGAATTATGACAAAATATGTGAGAATGGGAACTGAAAAGATGTGCAGAGGGGGATATGGCTGTAAAAAGACTTAAGGGGACTTTTTAGGGTACTGATTGCTTTTTAAAAATTTGATTGTGGTGGTAGTTGCTAAACGACCTATGTTCACCAAAACTCACCAAAATAAATATACATGCAAAATGGGTGAATTCTGTTGTATGTGGACTATATGTCAATAAAGCTATGTTTTTTAAAAAGATTAAAATGTTACAAGCATCAAAAGCAGGAATGAATACAGGACTATTGAATATAAAACATAAACACATGATCCTGAAAATTTGATGAAAAATATGTTTGAATATTAAAACTTTTTTTATATTAAGGAGAAATTCACACAACACACAGTTAACCATTTTGAAGTGTATAATTTAGTGGTACTTAATGTATTCATCATGTTGTATAACTATCAGTTCTCCCTAATTTCTTTTTTTTAAATAAGTGTATTTATTTCTTTTGAGAGAGACAGTGCGAGTGGGGGAGGGGCAGAAAGAGAGGGAGAGAGAGAGAATCCCAAACAGCCTCCACGCTGCCAGTGCAGAGCCCAACCCAGGGCTTGAACTCAAGAAACCTCGACCTCGGCTCATGACCTGAGCCAAAACCAAGAGTCAGACTCTCAACCAACTGAGCTACCCAGGCGCCTCCTGCTCTCTCTAATTTCAAAACGTTTTCATTACTTCACTAAAAGCACCAATCACTCCTAACTCTCCCCTTCTTATCCCATGGTGAACTCTGATCTGCTTTCTGTCACAGTGGATTGGCCCATTCTGGATATATCGTATAAAAAGAATTATACAATATGTGACCTTCACTTTGTATAGTATTTTGAAGTTCATCCAAGTTGCGGCATATACCAATACTTAGTTCCTTTTAATTGCTGAATAATATTCCATTGGCTATATATACACCACAAACTGTTTATCCATTCATCTGTTGATGGACATTTAGGTTGTTTTCACCTTTTGGCTATTATGAGCATTGCTATATTACAACATTTGTGTACAGGTTTCTGTGTGGACATTATGTCTTCATTTCTCTTAGATATGTACCTGAGAATGAAATTGCTAGGTCATATGGTAATTATGTACTTAACTTTTTGAGGAACTATTTTTCGTAGTGGCTGCACCATTTAATTTCCTACCTGGATTAATGGAACAAATGGTTCCTACATATCCATGCTTGTTATTTTCCATTACTTTGTTTAAAGGCATCCTAGTGGGTCAGAAGAGATACATCTTTCTGGTTTTGATTTGAATTTCTTTAATGGCCAATGATGAACATCTTTTCATGTGCTTTTCATTGGCCATCTGTGTATCTTTGGAGATATATCTATGCAAGTCCTTTGCTTGTTTTTCACTTGGGTTGTCTTTTTGTTGTTGAGTTGTAAGAGTTCTTTATATATTTAGGATATTAAATCCCCAACAGCTAAATGATCTGCAAATATTTTCTCCCATTCTCTAGATTGTCTTTTCACAGTCTCAGTAGTGTCCTTTAATGCACACAAGTTTTTAATAAAGTCCAATTTCTTTTCTTTTTTTTCCTTCTCCCTCTCCATCTCCCTCTCCCTCTCTCTCTCTCTCTCTCCCCTTCTTCCTCTCCCTCCCTTCTTCTTCTCCTTCTTCTTCTCCTCCTCCTCCTTCTCCTCCTTCCTGTCCTTCTCTTCCTTCTCTTCCTTCTCCTTGTTACTGATTGCTTTTGTTGTCAAACCTAAGAATCTGTTGCCAAAGCTGAGGTCATGAAGATTTATGACTCTATTTAATATAAGAATTTTATAGTTTTAGCTCTTATATTTGGGTCCTTGATCCCTTTTGAGTTAATTTTTTTATATGTAGTGGGATGGGAATTGAGCTTCATTTTTTTTTTGCTGGTAGCTATCCACTTATCTCTGCAAGAAACTCTTTTCCCCCCAAACACCTTACCTAAAGTAATCCACTTCCTAATCATTTTGTAAATCAAGTTGATAAAGCAAATATGGTATGAATAGCTATCCTCAAGAAACTCTAGCATGCCAATTAGTTACATAAACTTGAGCTCAAATTTCACCTTCTTGGTAAGGCCTACCATATGTACTCTATTTAAAATGCAATCATATACCCTCCACTCTTCTCTCTTTTAACTTTTTTCTTCACTATACTTCCAATTTCTAAAATGCTGTATAACTTTGTTATTTTATGTAATGTCTCTTTCCAACTCGAACGTAAGCCCCATGAGGACAGAGATTTTTTTTCTCTTTTGTTCACTGCCACATTTCTAGCATCAAGAGCTTGCCACATCCAGTATTTATCACCTAAATTTTCTTGTTTTTGCTCAGTATATATCATCTAAATGAATAAAACTATAAAGAGTTAGCAACTCTGTTCAATTATATTTTGGAATGCAGAACTT